GCAATTATGGGTTACTACCCGTGTGCCATGATGTTGATCCGTGGTTCAAACCTCCAACCTCATGTGGTAATAGTCGACTGATTGGGAGCTTTCTTTAAAGACGGATTGCATCTGCCTGAGAGGCAAGGAAACAGCAGTCTGCATACGAATGAGTCAGATCTGTAAAACGGATGCACACCCAACACTCACGTTCTGGAACAGGACTGCAGTCCAGAAGTGGATGAACAACCAAAACTTTTTGCCAAAGCTTACAGCTGGTGAACGCGAAGCAGAAGAAGAAGAATAATAAGAAGAAGAATTTGTCAGCATTTTGAAACTGCCTCTGACCCCCAAGCCACAGACACCGTGCTGTGTAGGCGCATTTAACAGAAATTAATTGTTTCCGGTCAGGTAGAGGAGATAAATGGACAAGAACCCTGAGGATATTGAGAATTAATTGCCTGTTATTGATTAGCGATTTCATACGAGCCTAGTACCCTTGTTCATTCTGCTCTGGGAATTAAACTCTGTCTTGCTTTTGTTTTGTTTTGTTTTTTTTGCTTTTTTTTGTTTTTGTTTCCGTGGTGTAGTAACTAGATCGCTCGTCTGCGATTTCAAACGTGGTTTTTGCGTGTGTGTGTGTGTGTTTTTTTTTTTTTTTTTTAATCCGAACGGAGCAGGACCTTCCCCCCCCCCCCTTTTCCAAACAATGATCTAGGTTCATCACTATCATCTTCATCATCATCATCATCATCTTTATGATAATCATCATCTTCATTATCATCAGCGTTCTACTCCTCTTTACTATCATCTCCCAGGTCGTCCTTGCCCTAAACAGGTATCAAGTACAGGAAATAAAGGTGACCCGTGTGATGTCAGCTATATCCCCACCTGAGTGCTGATTGGTCTATAAAATATAGATCTAGTACTATATCCCCAAAACGCCTAAAGGCTTTGGAAATGGTCCTTTTCATTGTTCTTGTAGCCCACGCGTGGGTTCCTGTGTAGGAGAAAGAAAATAAAGGGCTCCCTGTCCCCAAACGTTTTCAGAACCAGAGGACTTAAAGCATATGTTACTTTACTAAACAAAACAAACGTTTGTCACATTCAACCAGCATTTCCAAAGGGATATAATTGTGACTAGGTTATGTTCACCATATCAAATTGTTTAGCATTGTATGCCACCTAAAGCCCTGAAAAGGACTTTTGCAGTGTTGAAATGATCGAAGGAGACATATTTAAATACTGTCTCGACCAGCGTCGAAGTCGTCTACCGGCTGGTACCGAAACAAGTAAACACCTGATACGCCTTTGAAAAAACAAAGGACGCTGTCCTTTAGACGTAGGTAGTTTTTTTTTTTTTTTACTGAAACCGGCTGTGTTTGATGAAAAGTTACAGATATTGTGGCCCAGCTGTAAACCACAAAACGGCATGCCAGTCATTATTTAAGGGTATGCTATTCTTTTCTGAGCGACAATAGCTGGTATCACACATGACAAAATAATGGAAAAACATGCCGACCAACCGCTGACAGAATGTGCTTTCATGAAAAAATAATGGACAAACATGCCCAGAAACCGATGACAGAATGTGCTTTCATGTCAAAGGAAAATTGTCTGGGGGTCTAAAGTGGCAGGTAAAGATCGGCTTTAGAATAATACGCTGACAGTTGACACATTCAGTTGGTCCGGCAATAATCAGGGATTAGGCTATTTCATAGTTGCTCCTTGCTTTAAATGTGTGGTCAACCCATTCGGACTTAAGGAATGATTCCAATTGAGACTGGTAATTGAAATGTCGTGACACATAGATGAAAAACGGGCCGGTATTTTGGTGAAATGAGGGTGTGTGTGTTTGTGTGTGTTTGTATGTTTGTGTGTGTGTGTTTGTGTGTGTGTGTGTGTGTGTGTTTGTGTGTGTGTGAGGAAGTGTGTGGAAGAGTGATTGGATGGATGTATGGATAGATGGATGAATGGATTAATGGATGGATTAAAAGATAGATAGCAAGGTGGATGGATGGATAGATGTATTGATGGATGGATGGATAAATGAATAATGGATAGATGGATGCATGGAGGACTCCATAGAAGGATAGATGTATAGATGGAAAGATGAATGGATAAATGTATGGATTGATGATGGGATTAATGGATAGATGGATGGGTGGATGGATGCATATGCAGTTTGATCTGGCTGCATTCTCAGTAGATGGGCGAACCATTTCATTCTTTGTCTGTTGCACATTATGCCTTTTTCGGACAGTGTGTGGTAAAGTTGACTCATGACACCAGGCATGGTCTCATTCCAACTGTTGCTTTCATGCTGGTATTCGTAACCCTGTTTCACCTTGTGTTGTCCGTGACTTTGCAAAGACATCGCATTTAACATGTAGTTATTTTCTGTTTTAGTGTTCTATTCATCACCCTTTACATATGATTGTTATTATGCACAACTTTGAAAATATGACCATCATTTTATACACAGTTTTAGAATAATTGCATATCCTTCACATGACATTACAAACAAATCCTTGCATGTTTTGGTTGCTTTGATTTCAATAGTCAATTTTTCACATTCATTGTTTGCCAATACTTTCCCAACGATCAGCTGTCCATGATTTTGTCTTAATCGAAGCAGGACAAACTCCTGCGTTATCTTCCGCACCTCAATCAAACCGGCAGATATCGGTTTTACAAACCAAGTTTGCGGCCCTTAAGCTACAGATGTCGGACACACTAATTTACTTTAAACGAATAATTAATTAATCATTATCACGTAGCACCAGGACATTGGCATTATTACCGAACCACCAAGCAAACAAGAAATCCTTAAAGCTATCCACACTTTAAAGAACAACAAAGCACCAGGCAAAGACGAACTGCCAGCAGAACTTCTCAAAGTAGATCCTAACACAACTGCTAGCACTCTAGAACCATTGTTCAAGAATATTTGGGAAAAGGAAGTGTTGCCTGACGACTGGACTGAAGGAACAATAGTCAAAATCCCCAAATAAGGAGACTTAACAGACTGCAATAATTGGAGGGGAATTACTCTACTCTCAGTACCAAGCAAAATATTTTGTTAAATCATCATAATGCGGCTTGAAAAAGGAGTAGATAAATGCCTATGAGTGGAACAAGCAGGATTCAGAAAGGGCAGAGGAACAACTGAGCACATCTTCGCTATACGTAACATTTTAGAACAATGCAACGAATGGCAGAGAAGTATATATATTAATTTTGTGGACTTTGAGAAAGCTTTTGACAGCGTCCATAGAGACGGTCTGTGGAAAATTTTACGACATTATGGAATTCCAGAAAATATAGTCAACATAATTTCTCTCTTCTATAAAGACTTTTCCTGCAGTGTAAAAAATTACTATACATCTTTCCCAGTAAAGACGGGTGTAAGACAGGGATGTGGTATGTCATCTCTCCTCTTCAACCTTGTGATTGATTGGATACTAAAGAACACAGTAGACAGGACATTAAGAGGCATACGATGGACTCCATTCACCATGCTTGAGGACCTTGATTTTGCAGATGATATAGCACTCCTATCACATTAACATGAACATATACAAGAGAAAAGTAACAGACTAAACTGCACAGTAGAAATGGTGGGCCTGAGAATAAATACAAAGAAAACCGAGATCATGACAAACAGTCCAAACCAACAACCAGTGACCATAAGTAACCAATCACTTAAAAATGTAGAACATTTCACATATCTTGGCAGTGTGGTGTCCCTACTGGGAGGGACAGAGAAAGATTAACAGTCACGTCTGAACAAAGCTAGAGCTGCTTTTGGAAGGATGAGACAAATCTGGAAACCCAACAATTACTGCAGAGGAACGAAACTCCGACTCTACAAGAGCATCATTTTGCCAGTTCTTCTTTATGGAGCGGAATGCTAGATAATGATCAAAAAGGATGCACACAAGCTGTCCACCTTCCACCACACATGTCTACATAGAATTATCAAAATTTTCTGGCCAGATACAATCTCAAACACTAAACTACTTCAAGCCACAAACCAAGAAACTTTAGACAGTATGATTACCAAGAGAAGATGGAAATGGCTTGGCCACGTTATGAGAATGACTTCTGATATACCTGCCAAAACAGCTCTTACATGGACACCAGAGGGAAAGAGAAAACAGGGGCGCCCAAAAACAACATGGAGACGAACGTTGGAAAGTGACCTGAGTGTGGCATCTTTGACATGGAAAACTGCAATGAAGATTGCACAGGACAGAAAAGCATGGAAAGTCCTCTCTGAAGCCTCATGTGCCACTAGGCATAACGAGAACTGATGATGACTGATGATATCACGTAGCACGTCCTTTGGAGAACCCTGTTCCCTGCATTTAAGATTATAGGTCTCCTACCACCTCCATTTCAAATGGTCAGATTCCCTAACCACTACACAAATAAGGCAAGAATCCAGGCAAGAGTATGTGTCTAATTTTATACGAAAACGCCGCTGGAACTATGTCGGCCACGCCCTTAGAATGGATAAATCAAGACTTCCTTACCATTCCCTCATTTGGACACCACAGGGGAAAAGATCTCGTGGAAGACCAAGGGAAACTCTATGTAGAACTATCATCAGGGAAGGGTCGCTCATGGGCCACTCAAACATCCAAGACCTACAACAGATTGCAACGAACTGCCATGCATGGAGAGTCATGACCTCTGCCTAATGTGCCGCACTCGACACAAGAGGAAAGACTAACCTAACCACCTCCTTCCTTCGTGCATTTTTACATCCAAGGTTGTACTTATATGCCGTGCCCATCGTCGTACTGATCGACCCCTCCCTTCTTTCCTAGCACCATATCTTCTTCTATTACTCTTTCTAATCCGCTGTGACGTTTGAGATGGCCAATATAATTCCGAGACAAGATGCTGTTTAATAGACAATATTCCTTAATGTTCCTATCTTTTAGGATATCCGTTTTCTTTTCCCCTCGGTACATAATTCGCCATCATTTACACGATTTTTTTTTTCAACACAGCTTCAAGACGAAGTGCTGGCAACAGCGAAGATGGACGTCATGAGGGTGCTAATGACCTCACACATACTGCACTGTCTAAAGCTACAGGAACCAGGTACAATAACGCTCGGTAAGTAGACTTTTTTTTTAAAGAGAGCGTGGGGGTGGGGGGTGCAGGGAGAATGCAGTCAAGCTGGTGGCAGGAAGTGCTACATCCAAAAAAAAAAAAAAACAAATTCATTGTACAGAGTGGCAAGCATCACTTCAGAGGTCCCAGGTAGTTAGCATACTTTGGATATTTTCTTCAGGTACTGCCGTTGTGTTCGGAAATGAGCAGGCAGATAGATTGGCTGGCTCTGCGCCAATTGCTAGTGAATTGATGTATGACCAGTTACATATTGTGAGGGCGAGTGAACAGTGCGGAGGCGCTGATAGATCATTACGGTCTGAGGAGAATGGCGCCGCGAGGAGTTACCAGGGGATCTGGCTGACGCTCAACACTCAGGGTAAGGATGAGACGGATATACAATCAGACGGTTACAGGTCCAACAGTTGATTATATATATATTTTTTTGGGAGGCGAGAAGGGGGCGGGGGGGGGGGGGGGGGGAAATCACAGAAACCTAACTGAGAGCTTGAACCGTGATTCTTATGGATGTGAGTCCTCTGCTCTTTCTAATTTGCAGAGTGGCAAGCATCATGTTTTCAGAAGTCTCGGGTAGTTAGCCTCCTCATATTTTCAGTTTATGCTGGTGTGTTGGGAAACGATCAAGAAGATAGCTTGGTCGGTTCTGCACCACTTGGTAATGAACTGATGTATGACAAGGTAGATCCTGATAGGGCCCTTTGTGAGCGAGTGAACAGTGCGGAGGCACAAATAGATCATTACAGTCTGAGGAATGGATGTATGTAAGTTGTACGCCACCAGTACATCACACAAGAGATAAACAACAAGTGACACAAAGTGCCACCATGTGGATGAGGATCACATGTGGAGAGGTTCCGGAAGCCCCATTCAGCCATTAGGCCATATTCATGCCCGGCTATATTTATGGCCCCGGCAAAAGCCAGGGTAGTTCTTCAAAACAACTAAAAATTGCATTCCACAAGGGGATGAGATTAGGCGGTCTAAGGATAATAACGCTGCTGGGAGTTACCAGGTGATTTGGCTGACGCTCACCACTCACTATTTATATTGTGTGACTAGTCTATGTATATTATACATCTATCTGCTTATTGACGTTATTCTATGCTATCTTATTACCCCTTATGCTGCCTAACTGTATTATTTTAACTCAAAGACACAAAAATATTGTACTAATATATTTTATTTGCTACTTCCACTGACTGTGGCTATTCGCCTCTCGTCCATCCTTTTTCTCTGGGTTACTTCCTGCCCATTGTATATTTTAACAAGCCTTTGTTTCTGAGGAGTGGATCTGTCAGGAGTTAGTAAAGTGGCCAAGCCGTGTGCCTCGCGTTCTTGAGGATTTAGGGGTGTCTAGATTGTCATGTTCTTAGTACACCTGTACACTTACAATTTTGAGGTGACAGTTTCGATTCCCGGCCCAGAACAACAGCATTCAATTTTTATGTTTTCTAATGCATCCTATTTTTCTACTTCCTGAAGTGTCATTTAGTACGATGTTTATTTTATATATATATATATATATATATATATATATCTATATATATATATATATATATATATAAACTTCAGTATATATATATACTGAAGATTATATATATATATATATATATATATATATATATATATATAAATATATATATAAACATCGTACTAAATGACACTTAGGAAGTAGAAAAATAGGATACATTAGAAAACATAAAAATATATATATACTGGGATTGTTAGTGTGTTTTATGGTCTACCTCTTTCATCTCACGAGTGCTATTATTACGGAAATCCATGGGTACCCTTACCAGAGCTTCGGACTTCGTGCATTGTGTGATGCTTTTACAAGTCCACTAGCTGCAGTTGACAAACAAATAATACATTTTCTACTACTCTAATAACTGAGAGACAAAGAGACATGATATATAAGCTAGTGCAACAACGCCGATCCTTTCAACTTTAAAATTAAATCAGGGTATTTAAAAAAAAAAATACGCCTAATGAATTCTTGATTTCATCCAATGCGGCCTTCACTGGTATGCATGATATTATGTGGACATCATTTGTACAAGTTTCACATCTTCTGAATCTCATTTATGATTCCTTAAACTTATTCCTGGTGATCATACATATCTTTCTGTTTTTTTTTTTTTTTTTTTGCAGTTATTTCCAGCCTGTCTCACTAAAGAATCCTCTGTACTTTGCTTTATCTTTTTAACTGCTTTTCCTCTTTCACACGGCGGATCATTGTTCCATTTTTCAATTCTTCCTGCGTTTCTGGTTTAATCCACGTAATATGGTGAAATCTTTTCGCCTTCTTTTAGAGCTTTGATTCATTTAAAGGTAGTGTCAAAATTTGTTGGAGATTTATTTATTGTTGAGGTGTACAATGTTTGTATAATCTCTGAAAGCTCGTTATGCGGTGTGAATGATGATAGTTCGTGCAGGTAAAAAAAATAAATTACTTATATCTTAGTACAAACAAGCAACATGATGTGCTGCTTAAAATGTAGTCTAAATTCTTCTTCTTCTTCTTCCTTTTCTTTTCTTTTTCTTTTTCTTTTATTCTTGTTCTTCTTCTTCTTCTTCTTCTTCTGCTTCTTCTTCTTCTTCTTCTTCTTCTTCTTCTTCTTCTTCTTCTTCTTCTTCTTCTTCTTCTTCTCTTCTTCTTCTTCTTTCTTTCTTCTTCTTCTTCTTCTTCTTCTTCTTCTTCTTCTTCTTCTTCTTCTTCTCTTCTTCTTCTCTTCTTCTTCTTCTTCTTCTTCTTCTTCTTCTTCTTCTTCTCTTCTACTCCTTCTTCTTCTCTTCATTTCTTTTATATCTTCTGTGTCGTCTTCTTCTTCTTCCTCTTCTTCTCTTTTTTTCTTCTTCTTTCTTCTCTTCTTCCTCTTCTTCTTCTTCTTTCTCTTCTTCTCTTCTTCTTCTTCTTCTTCTTCTTCTTCTTTCTTCTTCTTCTTCTATCTTCTTCTTCTTCTTCTTCTTCTTCTTCTTCTTCTTATTATTATTATTATTATTTTAATTCTTTTTCTGCAGTCTATCTCTTCTTCTTCTTCTTCTATTTTTCTTCTTTCTCTTATTTTCTTCTTCTCTATTCTTCTTCTCTTCTTTTTCTTCTTCTTCTTCCTCTTCTTCTTCTCTTTGTTCTTCCTTCTTCTTCTTCTTCTTTCTTCTTCTTTCTTCTTCTTCTTCTTCTTCTTCTTCTTTCTTCTTTCTTCTTCTTCTCTTCTTCTTCTTCTTCTTCTTCTTCTTCTTCTTCTTCTTTCTTCTTCTTCATTCATTCTTCTTCTTCTTCTTCTTCTTCTTCTTCTTATTCTTCTTCAATTCTTCTTCTTCTTCTTTGTATTTACTTACCGCTGTAAACTCCGATGGTAAGCTTTGATTGGTTTATTCTCAAATAGCTGGTTTTTACGGCATGCTTTTTATGGCCAGTCGGTTTAACACCCCCCCCCCCCCCCGCCCCCAGAACATCCGGAATTGCTAGCAGCCACATCAACTACTGACCGCCCTCAAGCGATGATATTTTAAAAAGATGTCTGCTATCTGACCTTAGTAAATTGTTTACGGCATCTGTAATGGTAGGTATATTCATAATGAGCGTAGTCGAACTCCGTGTGGTCCGTTTTCAGGCCTAGGGGTCGGCGAAAAAGCCGCATTTCTCCCAGATTTACAGTGCCTATAATGGAATCATGGCCGAAGGGTTGCGATGTCCATAGTACCGAGCCAAAGGGATAACAACTCATGGTTGCTAGATATATATAAAAAAAAAAAATAATATTCATAATGACATATTAAATTCAACGTTTAAAGTCTTGCATGAAGAACGTTAAGCTACAGTGTACATGCGATACATCCTTGCATTGCGATTATTGCAGATAGATTAACAGTGCTGTAGGCTTAGTCATACCTCAGAATAGCTGCAGACAAAGAACACCCTCTGTATGAAGCTTTCGATGCATTTAAGAGGCAGAGGTTAAAAAGGGTACAATTGTGGGTGGCTCGGGCATAAGATACAATAAGACATGGATGCATGCTGGAGAACAGTGTTCGAGGAGAAGAGTGGGTCTGAGTACCAGAGGAAAGGTCTGACCTATGTAAGGTCATGATCACATTAGGCGGGGAATGCAGAGAGTGGCCAGCGGGTGCTACGGATGTGGAAGTCCAACAGTTTATTCACGAAAATTCTTGTTCTTGGTGATCTGTTTATCTAAACAGATGATTCGGTGTTGAGAAAAAAGAAAAGTGTATGGGAGTTAGTAGCGAAAGCCAATGGAAAATCTGTAGTGCATGACAGCCTAGGATACGAGATCACAACATCTAGCATGAGAATAGAGGTGACGGTGGTAACTGCAGCTCTCCGGTGGCTAGAGAACAAGATGTATACACATGTCGTAATTGTAACAGACTCTGAAAGCATGCTGAGAAAGGTGAACACAGGGTTGCGTCGAGTAAAGTGGCAAGCTTCACTTGGAAATCACAGGTAGGAAGAATACATTGAATATTTTTGCTGGCGTAGTGGGGAATGAACAGGGAGACAGATTGGCAGGACCTGCACCACTGGGTGGTGAATTGATTCATGACAAGGCAGATGTGGTTAATGTCCTTTGGGAACCAATAACGGAGTCGGAAGAGAAAGTGGATTATTATGTCCTTTACTTAATGATGCAACCGGGTGTGACAGGAGGGTCTGGTAGATTCACTGCTTTCAGAAGAAAGGCAAGACGGGCATATATAACCAAGACTACGACCGGTACCATTAGTATTCAAACTTTGCACAGGCTGCTGAAGATGGGAACGGAGCGGGTATGGGAATGCGCTGAGTGCTGTGATGTCAATTCTTGACTCAACTCAACACAACTCAACAGGGTCCTCAGCCTCTATGGCGATCTTGACCAGGCTTCGTCAACATTGTCGGTTTGTCGCTTTCGTCCACATTACCATAAGAGATGTTCCAGGCCGTCAGCCTGTTGTTTGCCTTGAATGCTTTTTCTGGGCCAGTTGTATTAAATCGGTGACAAAGGAATCGAGGAAATGAGGAAGTCAAAGAGAAACTTACATGTCATTCAGTACATACAGTCTTGATTATACCACTTCTGTCCATGTTTTCTTTCTGTCCCTGCTTGTATTACCTCGTTATTTACCAGTTACTGTGACTTATGCTGGCCTAGTTATGGTTGCTTTTGTATGTTTTATTTAGGCAGAGCAGCAGGGCCGACTTGCTTGATCCAAGACTTCCTCACGAGGTGCGACAAGAGTCGACATACCATCATGTGCAAGAAAGCGGAAGCGGTGATGAAGGAATATCAGAGGTTAAAGCCGAAAATCGTTTTTATTTTATTCACTTGAAATAGATTATTTATGTCTGCATTGTTGTCTCTAGTATGAACTTCACTGTCGGTAACACAGTCAGCAACCTGTGCAGTTTGGCTTGCACTTGTGTTTCTCTTCACGTGTTTCTGTTGGCGAAATGTTGTGCCTTGATACGTACGTTGTATTTAAGACAGTCTTTGGGAATTTAATTTATTTTTCGAGATGCTAATGCACATGCACACATTGCTGATTCGTCAATATTACATTGTACGTACATGTGGCTCAAAGTCGATTCTGTAAGGAATATCTATCGTAAGATTGAACGTGTGTAGCTGCACGTGTGTGTAAGTTTGTAATTACATTTCCAAGATAGAGAACACGTATTTATCTGTTTACTCTGATGTTTTATGACAATACTAACTGTTTCGAGAATTCGACAAAAAATCCTTTCTTCTGGTCACGCAGAGAGATACGAGACTTGCAGCAGGGACAAACAACCCGTTTTCAACGTACACAGAGTCCTATCTTGGCAGTCGCCAACAGCAAGAGTTCAGCCACTATATTGTATCCCCGAGGAGCCAGAGGATGACGCCGCAGGAGATGGAGGAATATGGAACTAAACTAGGTAAGTCTATTACAGAAAATGACGAATAGCCAGTTTTTGTTTTGGCTAGCGAAATACCTTACGCAATAAGGGATATCTTATAGTCACTGACTACCTTCTTTCATTGAAGACAAATTGCAATTCTGGTGGCTACTATTGGTGTTGGCACTCTAGTTGTTACTTCATGCATTTATGCATGTTTCCTTTTTTTTTTTTTTTTTTTTTTTGGGTGCCTGGACTAATTGTTTGTTCACTAGTTTTAGAATGGAACAGTAGAGGGGCTTTTCACATTTCCTGTCAAACCTCTGCCCCACCCCCACTTCCCGCTTTTTTCTTTTTTTTTCTATAAAATACACATTACCCTCCAACCATGTTTTCTCACCTCCCTTACCTTTAAAGATGAAACCCGGCGTGACCCACACCCAAGCATACCAAATCCTGGCCTACGCTACTGATGTTATCATAGACAGAGGAAATGCAACGTTCACTGTTATGGCAGAACAAAATAGGCTCTTAGGCTTGGCTGTCAGAGGTAGGGTCCGACAGGTAGACAGTCAGAGCACTGATTCGAAAGCTTCTGTAGATGGGCTTATTTCAAACGTATCGACGTTACCTTGACAGCAAAGCAGCATTAGAGAGAGAGAGAGAGAGGAGAGAGAGAGAGAGAGAGAGAGAGAGAGAGAGAGAGAGAGAGCGAGAGAGAGAGAGCAGGGTGCTTTTATTTTGTGTATTTTTTTCTGTCAAGTTTTCCTTTTGCAAGATTATAAAACGTAGGATTACCACCTCGGAGACGAGAATCCCGCATAGACAAATGCTAGAAGCACCGTTTAACCACAAGGTTATGTCGGGACTACGATGTCGCCTGCAGTCTGGATCAGACATGAGTTTTTGTTCCAAGTTTTCGCCCTCCAGGATTGCAGACGATGTGATTAACACTTCAAGGATTAGAATCAAACAAGTGCGAATACAGGAAACCCGCAGTAACGACCCATTTTCTCTGTTGTTGGAATGAGGACAACTAGTGGACATAACTTATTTGTGAGAATCAGAATGGATGGTATCGAATCTTAACTATAATATATGCACGCCTAATCGAGTCCATGGCCGAGGCAAATATGCAGTTTGTCTGTACGTGCCAAATGAAGAAATCATGAAAATCGCCAGTAGATATTTTGAGTGAACGATAAGAGTTGATTTAAGCATTGAGCAAATGAGAAATGCTCAGTCTTGTTTTCGACCTGAGTAGAAAGTGATCTCGTGGTGCTCTGAATGCTGGAGGTGAATCCGTTTTGGGATCCTGTGAATGCTGTTTAGCCATCAGCCTCTTCCTGAGATGAAACCTGGCTATGACGCCATGACAGTTTAAAATTGAGCGAATGTTGTCTGCTGCGACATGTCTTTTCGCTGAATTCAGTTCTGAGGTGACTAAAAGTGCAAGTACTGTAGGAGTGTTTAACCGAATAGCCACAAAGCACAGTTATTTTAGGGCACCACAAAACCGTTACGAAGTTACCTGTAATCCAGTCTGTGTGGATGGGACGGTGGATGGGTCTGCGTGATGAGCAGGGAATTAATTTGTGGGTAAATCTGATATTATTTCGAATATACAAGGTCTGACAATTAAGTAATGAGACTAATTCCATAAAAATTAAAATAATCAACAGTTCAAGTTATAATCTGTATCCAATTCAAAGTAAGCCCCTTGTGCATTGATACAGTAAGTGGCACGATCTAACAAACACTGGAACGACCTCTGTAGTTCTTCTGTTGTTATAGCCTCTAACTCGATGTTACAGCCTTTTGGATGTCATCACTATAGTTAAAGAAGCGCTCTTTCAATCGTAACTTTTATTCTGGAAATAGAAAATAATCACAGGGAGACGAATCTGGGAAATATGCTGGAAGGCTGAGAACACACACTTGTTTTTAGGCCAACAATTCTTGTTTTGATGTCTCTTGGGCACTCAACCCGCTGAAGTTTTTGGTCATCAGACAACGAATGTGGTAAAAACCAGTAAGCAACTTTTTTCTTGCCAAAATCTTGCCATAAAATGTTGTGAATGATCTCTCTATTACCACCTGATTCATCTGCCACCATCCTCAAAGTAAAATGATGATCTTTTTGCGTCCATTCTTTGAATTTTGCAACGAGTTCATCATTACGAACATACATTTGGCGTCCAGGTCAAGGTGCATTAGTAATCATTTCCACATCACTTTTGAATCGTGAATACCGCCTGAAAATTTGTGCAGGAGATAAATATTTATCCCCACAAACTTGTTGCATCAATTCAATCATTTCAATTGCGCTTTTTCTGAGTTCTAAAAAAGAATTTAATGTTAGCTTTTTGCTCCGTGTTGATTACGTAACAATGCGTCTCTGAAAAGGTCAACAAAATGGCGGTTTGTGTTTTGTCTGCTTATCGAGTGGCGATGAAAAGGTGCCAGATCATAGATAGTAGCCTCTTTAGATTCCATGCTTTGCTTCATAGATGGCATTTTTGTCTTAAACATAATAAAATCATTCTCATTACTTTATTGTCGGATCTGGTACAATAATTATTATTTGCCATGCAATACATAATAACTATGATAATAAAAATTATGATAATAATAATGAGGATAATAATAATAGCGTTGCAAGTCCTTTCTCATTACGATCTGCAGAAAGAAACACGTTCCCACGCCAGCTCCACGGACTCAAGCATTGTCCTACCCAAGGTGTCACTTATATTTTCTGCTTGCCTCTTTTCTGGTACCATGCCTTTTGATATTTTCTCCCCATCCAATAATAATAATAATTATTATTATTACCCACTTTAAAAAGACCTAATCCTCTTGAACAGTGCCTCATCCCCATGTTTTATTTGTGTCGGCACACTTGTCCAGTTGTTTCTGCACAAGAAAATCCTCGGCGGAAAAAGATCGAATATTACAAGGGACATAATTCTTCATGTTTGTCAGGAAAGACAACTGCATAAATTTGCTGTCTCAATGAAACGGTGTTACATGCCCGAATCCTGATATTTTTCTCGCTAAAACTACTGTTAATTACACTATTCTAACAACGTGATGCTATTCACATCATCGTGTTTCTTGTTTCTTGTCACAAACAATTAATCTCTCCTAGAGACTTTTTTAAAAACACTGGCATTTCGACATTTCATCAACCAATTACCATCTCAAGTCTTTTTATTACTGTTCTTTGTCATTGCGTTAATGAATATTTTCACTCCTCCTTAGGACGTTATTGTTTGTGATTTGAAGCACCACTCTGGCTTTTGCCAGGGGCCGCAATATAGGCAGGTCATCATTATGGCCAAATGTCTGAACGCGGTTTCTGGGACCTCTCCACGGTGATCCTCATCCGCATGGTGGCACTTTGTGTCATCGGGTGTTTATCGCTTGTGTGATGTCCTGGTGGGGTAAAAAATCCAATCAAATCCTTTGTCATTGCGAGGATATTAGACGTCACCATGCAGGGTGCAATATTTTGTTATTTGTAGCCCCACCCTGGCTCGTGTCAGGGGCCCCTAATGTATCTGGACCATAAATATGGTCTAATGGCTGAACAGGGTTTCTTGGACCTCTCCATGGGTGATCCTCTTTTGCATAGTGGCACTTTGTGCCATCGGGTGTTTATCGCTTGTGTGATGTACTGGTAAGGTACAACTTACACATTACATACATACATACATACATACGTACACACATTACATACATACGTACACTGTTCTTTGTGTGTCTAGTCCGACAAGTCACCCACATGGGATTAAAGGTTACTCCGTCACCGTATGTGTGTACCAGTATAACTGTGTTAGATGACTGTACGAGGTTTCCGAGATTTGTAGCTGCTGATTCTCATTGTCGAGATATTAATCTCACAGAAATGAAAGGGGCGATATGGCACCACAACATCTAGCAAGACAAATGAGGTGAAGGCAGTAACTGCAGCTATCCGGTGACTAGAGAACAAGATGCATTCACATGTCGTAATTGTAACAGACTCTGAAAACATGCTGAGAAAGGTGAAGACAGGGATACTTCGAGCAGAGTGGCAAGCTTCACTGGAAAGGTCACCGGTTGTGAGCATACTTTGGATTTTTTCTTAAGGCCATGCCGGTGTGGTGAGTAATGAAGAGGCAGACATATTGGCATGATCCGCACCACATGGTGTAGAATTGATCCTTGACAAGGCAGATGTTGTCAAGGCACTTTGGTAACAAACAACGATATCAGTAGAGAAAGAAGATTATTATAGCCTGGAGAGAATGAGGCACTTGGGTGTGACGTCACTACAATCAGACGAAAGGCAAGATGGACATGTAACAGATGCCATCTGTATTGAAACTCTGCGCTGGCTGCTGCAGATGAGGACAAAGCATGGATGGGAAGGCCCCGAGTGCTATGGTTTAAATTCTTGACTCAACTCAACTTATCTAAGGGGGCGAAAGGTTACAGAAAAATACATTTATCAAATTCATATGCAGCCTCCGCCAAATTTTAAAACCAATCCTACGTCCTTCTGCAGGCTACTTGGTAAGGCCGGACCACTGTCAGCTCCAGCAGCAGGGCCGAACAGGTCTACGGAAATTCCCATTTTGTTAGGACGGAGCTGGCCGATATCCTTACGTCACTGTTGGCAGGGTTTTCCTGACCTGATGACATGTTACTGCAACAGATAGCTACTCTTCTAGGATTGAAAGAAAAAATTGACATAGTCCTTACTTACAGCTGTCGGTCGGCTACATCGCGATTGGATGAACCGGGTTTCTGGGTTTGCAACTGGAGGCTTCTCATCCGAATAGTGGCACATTGTGTAACGGAGGGTCTATCTATCTATCTATCTATCTATCTATCTATCTATCTATCTATCTATCTATCTATCTATCTATCTATCTATCTATCTATCTATCTATCTATCTATCTATCTATCTATCTATCTATCTATCTATCTATCTATCTATCTATCTATCTATCTATCTATCTATCTATCTATCTATCTATCTATCTATCTATCTATCTATCTATCTATCTATCTATCTATCTATCTATCTATCTATCTATCTATCTATCTATCTATCTATCTATCTGCCCGGCTCTCTAGCGAAGTTGGTTAAACAGGACTTTCGCGGCGGCCGGGTGACGAACTCCTTGTGGTCCGGGTTCACTCCCGGGGGTAGGCAGAAAAGCCACATTTCTCCCAGATTAAGGGTACCTATAATGGAATCAAGGCCGAAGGGTTGCGATATCCATAGTACCGAGCCAAAGGGTTTACAACTCATGGTTTCTGGATACGTAAAAAAAATTAAAAAAAAATAAAAAAATCTATCTATCTATCTATCTATCTATCTATCTATCTATCTATCTATCTATCTATCTATCTATCTATCTATCTATCTATCTATCTATCTATCTATCTATCTATCTATCTATCTATCTATCTATCTATCTATCTATCTATCTATCTATCTATCTATCTATCTATCTATCTATCTATCTATCTATCTATCTATCTATCTATCTATCTATCTATCTATCTATCTATCTATCTATCTATCAACCTGTCTATCTATCTACCTGATAGATAATCTACCTGTCTGTCTATCGTCTATCTATCTATCTTGATATCGAATGATGGCACTTTGTGTAACTACTGAAAAAAATCTAACGCAAGGTGGCCTGTTGCTAAAACGCCTGTAACTTGGATTGAGCCCGGCACCCTGGTATTACGAAGCGAGTTCGCAAAGCCTAAACCACAGGTGCTGACAGCAGCTCATGGCGAGAGTAGGGTGTCAAAAAAAGGGGGGGGGGGGGGGATGACAAGGAAACACAATTTAGTTAACTTTTCTAATCATCACCAATTAGATTCATCGATGTGTTTGTTGTAATTCCACCAGATGACGTCAGTGAAGAGAAGAAATTAGCCAAGCAACAACGAGACGCTGAGAGAGTCAAGCACCAGGTACATTTTATACTCTCTGTTGGTGTCCTAGCCCAGTGTTGTGACCTTCATGTTTGTTTTCTGCTTCTGGAGTGGTTTGCTGATGAATCTGCACATCTTTTTGGCAAGTTTTAGCTACATCTGTTTCAGCAGTAATGTAGATAACGAGGAGAGAACTGGTACAGATAGTTCAAACACAAGATGAGCTTTTATAGTACTGGAAATCTATGGAGGTCAAATGAAATTAAAACTTATACTAAATTATTTTTATTTTGTATTTTAATGTCAAATCAGTACTGTTGAATGACGTGGAATCATAGAGAACAACTAAAACAACTGCTAATCAACTATAAACATTCATTAACTAGTGCCTGTACAGAATAGAGGGGATTTAATGGTTTGACAGGATCTCTAATGTAGAGCTTCGCAAAGAAAACTAAACAATGTCCGATGGACCAAAAGATGAAAAAACGACGCTTGGCGTTGGATAAGACAAACGTTGAGAAAACAAAGAAAAATATAAATAGAATGTCTTTGCCCTAGAAACCACAGATTTCAGAGCGCTTGAGGTTTATTGCAGCGAAATATCCATAGCCCCCATTCATCTCTCTGGTTGCCCTCTATTTCAGTTGGCGACACCAAGTGTTTGCAGGACTGTCTGGACATTATCTCTCCATCGTTTTCTTTGTCTACCTCGTGGTCTACGACCATTCATATCGCTTGTGTATAGGTTTTACTTCTCCGTCATCGTACATTCTTTCAATATGCGCAACCATTTACGTCAATTAGATCTCATTATGCCAGTGATCAATAAAGAAAGAGATTAATAATATGTTGTAAATCGACTTAAATATATATATATATATATATATAATATATATATATATATATATATATATATATATATATATATATATATATATATATATAAACAAAAAAGACACATACAAAAGACTGCACAATTTATTTCCTGGCATATTTCGCTGTATCTTCGTTAGATGCATACTACAGTAACAATTGATTAAAATGAAGTAAATAGCTGAATCCTAGAAACTTAAATGGTCGTTACCTTACGGTTACCTTAGTGAAACAGACAGTTCAGTATGTACTTGACTTTGTGTTTCAGTATATGCCAGGCAAAAGATTGTGTAGTCTATTGTTTGTGTCTTCTTTGTTTAAGTTCCTATAGGGAGTCGGCAAAACACTTTGATTTATGTATATATTTATATATATATAATATATATATATATATATATATTATATATATATATATGATATATACAGAATAATATATATATAATTATATATATATATATATATGTGTGTTGTGTGTGTGTGGTGTGTGTGTGTGTGTGTTCGTATTTATAAGAAAAATGTGTTTAGAAATACCATGCACCTTTCAAACAGCCAAAAATAGCAACCAAGAGATGGTTTTGAAAGAGGCCGGGAGCCCCAAAGACAACTCATTTACATTCAAGGGAGACAGTAAAAGGACCCCATCTCAGAGGGAGGACAGTCATCATTTTTTCGGCCATGTTATGAGAGAAGAGGGAAAATAGAACATGTTGGTAAACACCACTGGAAAGATCTGTTGGAAAAGGGGATAGAGGAAGACAAAGACAAGGAGAAGATGCTTGACAGTCTTGTTGTATGGCATGGAGTGTGTGTCGGCAACCGAGCTTGATTTACATGCTGCAGCATGAGATCGCGGATTATGGAGAGGCATTGATCGCCCTACGCCAGTCGGCAAGGCACCGATGTGATATATATAATATATATATTAATATATATAGATATATATATATATAGATATATATATTATATATATTATATATATATATATATTAATATAGATGGTAGATTAAATAGATATATATATGATAATATATGACTATATATATTATATATATAGATATATATATAATTATATTATTTACACATATATAATGCTAAAATATAGGCCAAATATAATTATATGTATATTTTAACTTTAATGCTTTGCAGGTACCCTTCGAATTAAGAAGTGGAAGAGGTGACGTGAGGCTCCCATACTTCCCTGCACGTAAGTTAACTTATTAATAATGTTTGGTCTATGGTAGGTCAAGGGCCTTCTTTTATGGTGGTTCGCAGTATCGGCACCTTTCAAAAGCCTTTTTTTTTTTTTTTGGAGCGCTATTGTGAATGACACTTTGTGATTGATAGGTTGAGTTATTTACGTATATTCTTTACAAGACGTTGCAGAACCAACCCCAACATTCTTTGTTGTTATAGTTTTTTTAAGCAAATTTTACATTCAGTAAGTAAATAAGTAAAGGACCCTTTTCCACGCCTTAATGTGTATAGGGCATATAGGGCTAGACCTATATTTTTATAGACTAATCGGCACAAGATGGGTGATGTGGTCAGTATCACGCCGGCCGCCTTCACTTTCCCGGGACTACATCCGGTACCCACTCAAGGCTGGGTCGACCTGGGAGCCAAAGGTCATTTTAGAAAAAGTCCGGCTCCGCCAAGGAGCAAACCCACGACCTTCCGATCCGCGATCCGCTCGGCCACGGCGATTCCCTTACATTAAAAAACACTTGGTGTCCACCACTGCCAAACTCTTTTCCTAAAAGAGGATGAAAGGTAGGTTTGGTGTCGATGGCTGGAGCAATAAACCGCAGGCGCTTGGAAGGCTGAAGATGAAGAAGATGGGAACTCTAGTGTTTAAATTGAGGGAAGGTTTGGTGTAGTAAATACCCAAGCCATTGAGATTTATGGGCATTTACGAAGGCCGCGGCCAGGGTTCCGGTAAAACGGCCTAGCACACATAGGGACAGTCGGTTGTAGATGTGGCATGTACGTTGATTTGTCTTATCTTAAAGACCCAATTAAACCGATTTCATCCATCTGATGTCCCCCCTGAAAAAAGGCTGGGCTTTAAAAAAAAAAATGGTCACATTAGGGGGGGGGATAAAAAGAGAATGGTTAACACTTGTCACTATAAACGAATTTTTTAGAAGATTCTTTGAAGCAAAAACCAAAAAACTACATGGTTTTTCATGAGGACGAAATGGCTACGGAATACCTTGGAAGGCCAAGGAGTATGTAACTAAACCAACGGAAGGGATTGGACTTGTAAGAGGGTTTCTTGAAAAAGTTAGATTTCTTTTTTTTTATTACAAAAATCAATGGCCGAAGAGCATTTACAAAACATGTTCTTTGCAAGTACCCAACATAGGAATTGAGGATAGAGGGGACACCAATGCCACATTGCAGGAGGGGGGGGAGAACACTCGTTGACAAAAAATTCGGAGTAAAAGATCCATTGGGGGGTAGACAGGGAACAAATGGGGGGGGATAAAGGGGCAGACCCAGAGGTAGGGAAGATTGGATTGGCAGGTTGGGATAGTTTGGAAAAACATTAGCTGGGAAATTTTGGGCATTGAGTTGCATAAAAACAACACCATTATTTGTGTGCTTAGTAGCGGTTTTGGAAAGGTGGGAGGCCATTACACAATGTGGGTTGTGGCGTCAAACGAACATTTAAAGAAAACCAGGGGGGGGGAACACACAAAGAAGGACAGTTAAAAGCCATAAGGGAGCCTACTTTCAGTGGGCAGGGCCAACGATGTGATGCAGGTGAACAGCAATGAACATGACACAGGTGTAACAGAGCTGTCAGGCGATTGGTTGAACCCATCTCTAGATTTTTTAATTTACAATTTAAAATATTACAAACTTTTTTTAATTTTAATTTTCTTGTTAACTCGTAAGAAACTAACATTCTGAGGAATGCTCCATACTTCCATCTTTTTTATATAGTTGCGTTTCCTTTACAGGACGTTGCAGAGTAAACCCCAGCAGCCCCTGGCTATTGTGTGGTTTTTCTAGACAAATTTACGTTCAGTAGTTTGTAAACGTATAGAGAGATGAAAAAAGGCAGAATTTTGTCAAGATCGATCTATTCATTACTACATCTGTTTGTTCTTTACTCATAATATATAATGTTTGCTTCTTCAGAGCATCGAGGTAATTCTGACACAAACGAGGTAGGGTAATATCTATCTAATCGAATCTGTCTGTCTGTCTGTCTGTCTGTCTGTCTGTCTGTCTGTCTGTCTGTCTGTCTGTCTGTCTGTCTGTCTGTCTGTCTGTCTGTCTGTCTGTCTGTCTGTCTGTCTGTCTGTCTGTCTGTCTGTCTGTCTGTCTGTCTGTCTGTCTGTCTGTCTGTCTGTCTGTCTGTCTGTCTGTCTGTCTGTCTGTCTGTCTGTCTGTCTGTCTGTCTGTCTGTCTGTCTGTCTGTCTGTCTGTCTGTCTGTCTGTCTGTCTGTCTGTCTGTCTGTCTGTCTGTCTGTCTGTCTGTCTGTCTGTCCCTCTGTGGTAGTGCTGCTGCTGATGATGATGATGAATATTATACTTTTTTACTATAAGGGTGATGATAAAGAGGAAGATGATGCTGATGATGATAATGACGATGATGCAGATGACTATGATAAGGATGGTGACGATGATGATGACGATTATGACGATGATGATGACGATGACGATTTTGATGACGATGATGATGATGATGATAATTCTGTTCATGATGAGTATGATGCTGATGGTGTTGATGATAAAGTTGATGATGAATATGATCATTGCGCTGATGATTATGATGGTGATGACGATGATGATGGTAACGATGATGATGATGATGACGATAATGATGGTGACGATGATGAGAATGATGATGATGACGACGGCGGTGATGATGGTGATGATGATGATGATGACGACGACAGTGATGATGATAATGGTGAGGTTAGGTCGATCCTTCCAAAAAGACCACTCGGTGTATTCTCTTTACATAGGAAACCATGCGTATGCTGACTGGGTGGATTTACCTAATCTGTTTGTGGATGCCATCATTCTCTTTTACTATTCTTCAAACTTCTCTGTGTTGATTTTATTTCTTTAACAATGTGTTCCGTTGCTGTCAGTGCCACGATATCCTATTCGATAAATAACCCCATCTTAGCTAAAAATAATTAAATGAGTATAAATATACTTAACGACTTCTTCTGCCTTTTTTTTTAAAAATCCCAATGGAGCATAGGCCCTCGACCACTTCTTTCTATTTTTGACTGTTCCATGATTGGCTGGTTTTTGTGGTTATTTTTTTTTTTTTTTTTTTCATGATGAAGTAGCGAACCTTAAGCCTAACCCTTACCCTGACAGCATGTTTGATAGATGCAGTGTTGCTATCATTTGCTTTCCATGAGGGGCTCAGTAACACACGGGCAATAATTAACATCAACTGAGATAAAATATTGTTTCGCAAACTGAAACATATTGGGTCTATCAAAAGAAAAGTAGACTGGAAAGAACAGTACCGAGTAAGAGAAGAAAGCATTGATGAGCACGAAGAAGGGTACTGGACATTAAGAGGCATCTTGACCAGAAAAATGAAAGGCACAGATATCACAGCACATCTAACAAACCACAACACACGTTGCCTACCACCTTTTTTTCAATTACCAACGCAAAAGAAACAACAAATATTTCTTACTTTAAATTCTATAATTAAATGCTATAATCATTTTTATTTCAGCGACGAAGTCTGGATTTGGAGAATACAAAAGGTGGAGCCGGCGCCCCGATCAAAGACTCGTGGGGTAAAAACATAACGCGCATACCTATCACACTCAGAAGAGACGACTATGGAGGTATGAACATAGGTGTAAATGTTTATGAATTAATCATAAGTCATGATATGTACAATTTTTATGCCAAGGACAAATTAACACTAACCCTTCTATTTCTCATGCATATGTAGCCAATTTCTGGGACTCGCATTCTTTTTTCTTTTAGAGGCATAAGGGTGGAGAGATAGGCACATAACTTTTCAACAAGCATGTCGTCAGAGGGCTGCGTGTTCTCGAGGTATGGTTTCCGCCTTCAGTGCTAGAGGTCCCGTGTTCAATCCGCTGTAAGGGCTGGGATTTTTTCACGTGGACTAGGACTTCTAGTAATTTTCCCTGGTCTCTGGGTAGTGAGATCGGACGCCCGTGTGCAGTGTTGCGCACATAAGAAGACTCTTGACAGTTGGAAATCGAAAAGAGTAGCCTAACCGCGCTGCCCGGGCAAACATTTGGAGTTAAAAATCTACTTAATGTATTTCAGGATCCTCGCCGGTGCTACATAAATTGTGCACTCTGCTGAGATTCTTCTGACTCAGGCTTATGTTAGAAGAAGAACGGAGCACTTATTGGTTACTCTCCGTGTGTTATGATGTTGATCCATTGTTCAAACCTTAAACCTCAAAGCATGTTGTAAGAGGGAACTAGTAGGGGTCTTTCTTATGAAATCGGAGTGCATTCCCTAGGAATCAACATTCTCCAAAAAATAAGCCAGATCAGTAAAACTGGTGTGCATGCAGCTCTTCAGTTTGGGAACCAGACGTGTACGAACAAACAAGATTTCCACCGAATTTTATATTTTTCATATACAGATAAGAAAAATAAAAGAAGATGATTTTAAGACCCCGTCTTTTTTTTTTAATAGAAGGGGAGGCTACTACTAAGTTTAAAAGCAATACACATTTTCAATGAGTTATGTTTCCTTATGTTTGTCTTTGTTTTAAGCGTGATTTTATGTTTGAAAGCACAAAAAAAAAAAAAAATGACGACCAAGTCGCCCATTGGCTAGACAGTAGACGACTTCGTCGCTGGTGGGAATAGTATTTGGGATTGTCTCATTTGACCGCATCAACGCTGCAGGAGTCCTTTTCATTGCTCTTGGTGGCGTGCAATACTAAGCCATTTTATAAGGCGCACATAACCTTCTCACATAATTATAACCTGAAGCTCCCCCTTAGGAATACTGGATGAACGGGACCGTTTTTCTCCCAAGTAAAGCACCTATCTACACATCCAAAGGCAGCTAGTAAGCAAGTAAAAGACCCTTTTCCTCGTTATCAGACGTGATGGGTATATAAGGCTAGATCTGTATATTATAGACCAATCGGCATTTGGTGGGTGATATAGTCAACATTATGCCATCGCTTTACTTCCCAGGACTATACCTGGTAGCCATTTAAGGCTAGGTCGACCTGAGAGCCAAGGTAATTTTTTAAACAAAGTTCCAGTACAGTCTAGATTTGAACCCATGACTTTTGGATCCAGAGGCGAGCGTCTAACCGCTCTACCATGCCGGTTCTCAGTAGCAACTAGAGGTTTTAATATTATTGACCATCAGTCAGGCATTCACACTCAGACTGCTGTGTGTCCATTTCTTTATGATGTCTTCCTATTTGTATCGTTGTCTGCCCCTTGCTCTCTTTCTATCGATCTCCCACTGCCAGCATGGTTATTTAAAAGCCTGCTGTCCATTAATGTAGCCAAACTATTTCAAATCTCCTTTTTAATTTCAGGAATTCTCTTGTCATTTGAATTATTTCCAGAACTGCTGTATTTGACTTTTTTCGGTCTCCACGAGCTACAACTTATTCTTCTGTAAACCCACATCTCCAGGGACTCGATTATCTCGTTGTATGTCCATTGTCCAGGTTTCTGCACCATAGAGCGGGGTTGAGTTTACGTACCATTTAACGATTCTCATTTTTAGTATGTTGGTTATTATTCTAGATGTCACTAATTTTGGCATCTTTCTAAGGATAGTTTCAACCATTCCTATTCTTTTTCAGATTTCTTTTTGACTTCTACTATTATCCGTTAAATTAAAAAAAAAGGAAAGGTTCCTTTTCCATGCCTTTAGGCATATAGGGCATATAGGGCAAGACCTATATTTTTATAGACCAATCGGCTTAAGATAGGTGATGTGGTCAACATTACGCCGGCCGCCTTTACTTCCCAGGACTGCACCAGATACCCACTCAAGGCTGATCATCAGTTACTACGGGTCTAAAATATAAGAAAATTTTTACTTTTCAAAAATCTTTCAGTTTGCTGTGATTTTCACTGTTGGTGGCTCCTTTTCATTGTTAATTATCATAGTTTTTGTTTTAGGAGTATTATTGTCTAATAGTCGGCTCTGTGGCTAAGTCGATGCGAACGTTTCGTAGTGCAGGGATGCCGGGTTCGATCCCAGCTGCCGGCCATGCGCCTTGCGTTGGTTTCGACAGTGGTATCAAGAAAGCCGACCGTCCAGAGGCAAAGGCAAATTACTAGACGTAAATTTGCCTAGGTTGGTTCTGCAACGTCCTGTAAAGGATACGCAACTACCGATTGTCTAATAGATGATTTGCACCCTGCATGTTAACTTGACCATCTAGGTCCTGTATCTCCTGCCCGCGTTCTGCTAGTAACAGTGTGTCTTCAGTATATCCTACAATTGCGCTGCCCTGGCAAAATTAGGAGTTTGAAATCTACCCAAAGTATTTCAGGATCCTCGCCGGTGCTACAGAGCCTGTGCACTGTGCTAAGCTTCTTCGCACTCAAACTTGAGTTAGAAGAAGAACGGAGCACTTATGGGTTACTACCCGTGTGCCATGTTGTTGATTTGTTGTTCAAAACCTCAAACCTTTTGAGTCCTGACAATTGCTGAGCTTGTCTAAAAATGTCTTATATGCATACGTTCATAAATGTGTTCTGTAAATAAGTTGAAGAAAATGCAGTGTGATAACACCTATCTCTGACCTACGACTCTGGTAATCTCTGTGGTGCGAAAATATTGTTGTGTCTAGCTATTGTTATTCTCCCCCCCCCCCCCCCCACACCCCAGTATAGGTTTCTGGGTTATTTGCGGAGACAGGCCAGGACATCATTATGTAGCAGGTCCTTTGCAGAACGTTGCACTCATCACAGTCTCCCTGAATGAAACGCGGTCTCTCGCCAGCTCTCCCGCCTCGTGTACCTTCAAATTCAAGGAATCATTAACTCTTTTAGGACGGAACAAAATTAGAGTGTCTCTATCATGAGCCAGCAATAGTTGACTATTTTGGGATGTTTCCTTCGAAGTGCATCTGCCTTAACTCTTTTAGGACGGAACAAAATTAGAGTGTCTCTATCATGAGCCAGTAAACTGGCCTTTACGTCTTTAAGGGATA